TGTGGCGTGTACCCTGGTGTGTGTGAGACTGCGGATGTGGATGTGCGAGCAGTGTCCGGTGTTTGTGTGTGCGTGCAGAGTGCGCGCAGTGCCAGCGGAGATAGAGCGTGTGCGGGCTGGGGCGGGGCGGGCGCGGGCGGGTGTGTGCGCCCCGCGCAACCGGCCCTCGCCCCAGCGCTCCCGGCTGCCCCGCCTCCGCCCCGCGCCCGCCCAGCCCCCGGTGGTCCCGCCCCCGCCCTCCCCGCGTGGCCCCGTCTGAGGCGGGAGCGCGCGGCGCGGGAGGCCGCCCCACTGCGGAACCCGGCGGGGAGGGGAGGGCGGGCTGGGGCGGGCGCCCCGCGCCGGAAGCGTGCCGGTCGCGCTGGGGTGGCCGCGGACATGTGCAGGATGTCCTTCAAGGTGAGCGCCGCGGGCTCCGGGAGGGAATGCCGGGCGGGGCGGCAGACATGCGGCGGCGGGCCCGCACCTGCGGAGCTCCCGGGGTCGCTGGCGCCGCGGGGCCCGCAGGGCGGAGTGAGAGCCGCCCTGGGTGCTGGCGGGGGACGGGAGGAAGCGACCGGGCTGGGATGGCTCCTGTGGTTTGTGGTTAGGTTGTGTGGGCTTTGCTTGAAAGGCTTTCGGTACTTTCGGCCGCAGGTCCGGGGAGCCCGGCCGCAGGGCGAAGGGGTGGCGGAGACTGTCGCCGGGGTAACGGGCGGGGGCGGGGCGGGGAAGAAGCCCGCGGTCAGCGCTGTCCTGCGGCCGCGCCCCGGGAGAGAGACCCGGGCTGCGGCACCGATTCCCGATTCTGCGTCCTCGTTTCGGAATGCTAGCGGCACCACTGTCGCCTCCTCTCCAGAGCACTTTTCGTTCGCCGAAGCTGAGTGCCCAGCAGAGTGCAGCTGCAGCTGATTACCAGGCTTCAGGGTCCAAAGGAGTCTTGTCTTAAAAGAGTTTAAAGTCATCCCATTGAATCCTCACATTTCAGGATGAAAGTGATGATCCTTGATTTGCCTCTATTGGAAGGTCTTAATACAAATAATTAAAATGTATTGAGCACTTAAAATGTGCCTGACTCTGAGCCAAGGGCATCTGGGCGCATCTTCTGAATCCTCAGGAAGATCCATGAAATGGTACTTTCGTGTGTCTCTCCTTTTTTTTTTTATTTTTATTTTTTAAAGCAAGAAGACTAAAACATGATGAAGTTAAGTAACTCATCACGGTCTTGCAGCGAGTGCGTGAATGGTGTTAACATTGAAACCCTAATGTGTCTGGCTTCCATCTCTTACAGTAGCTCATGTAAACAGAGGGATGATATGTTGAGATTTGCATGTTAGAAAGATCTCTGGCCACAGTTTGGAGAAGGCAGTGGAACTGGGGTCATCTTGTTAAGTGGTAGGGACTAGGGAACAGGTGTCTAGAATGGAAGGAAGTAAACAAATCTGAGTGACTTAAAAAATTTTTAGTCTATGGAATTCTGTAACTGGATGTTATTCCCTGAGTTAAGGAAAGCTAGAGAGGTAAAGATAAAATGTTTGGTTTGGGACATGTAAAGTTCAAGGATGGATGGAAGTCCAGGTAGAGATGCTGATTAGACAGATCTACAAACTGGGAACCCCGGGAGTATAGTCTAGGCAGGAGATAGAGATGAGATGTAGGAGTGAGCAGTGTTAAGTGGTAATTAAACCCATGAGAATGAATGCAGTTGCCCTGTGAGACTGTGTAAAAGTGGAAAACAGAGGACTGAAGGCAAAATCTTGAGAATGAGCAGAATAAGAGAAGCCCATTGAGAAAACTGAAGAGCAGCCAGCGATGTATGAGAACAATCTGAAGCGTGTGCTGATATTTAAGCCAAGGATCTCTAATCCTTTGATAAAGATGGGGAGGAACTCAAAGATAAATACTACAGAGAAATCAAGCTGGGAATTGAAAAGTGTCCATTGTATTTAGCAACAAATGGCCACTGCTGACCTTGCTCAGAGCAGTTTCAGTGAAGTGCTGGCTTCAGGAGCCCGACTGCAACAGCTTCAAAAGAGAGTGGATGGGAACCACGAGTGTCCAGAGCTGTTTCAAAAACTTCTGCAAGAAACAGTGGCTGCAGCAGGGATTTGGAGCAGGCCAACGGTTTGTTTGCTTTAAAATGGTAGAGACTTGACCATCTTTAAATGATGACAAATATCTCAGCAATAAGAAGACAAATAACCCAATTTTAAAAAATGGGCAAAGGAGATGAATAGACATTTCTCCCAAGAAAATATACAAATGGCCAACAAGCATCTGCAAATATGGTCAACACCTTTAGTCATCAGGGAAAGGCAAATCAAAACCCTAATGAGACACCACTTCACACCCACTAGGATGACTATAATCAAGACAGACCGTGTCAGGTGTTGGCAAGGATGTGAAGAAATTCAAGTCTTCCTACCTTGTTGTTTAGGAATGTAAAATAACGCAATCATATTAGGAAACAATCTGGTGGTTACGATATGACCCAGCAATTCCACTCCTACATATATACCCAGAAGAAATGAAAACACCTGTTTACACAAAAACTTGTGCACAAATGTTCATTTTGTTATTCATAATAGCCAAAAAGTAGAAACAACCCGAGTGTCCATCATTTGTATATCATTGATAATAAACAAAATGTATGTATTAGCTTGAGCTGCCATAACAAAATACTATAGACTGGGCAGCTTAAACAGCAGGTATTTAATTTCTCACAGTTCTAGAGCCTGGGAAGTCCAAGATCAAGGTGCCAGAGGATTCAGTCTGGTGAGAGCTCTCTTCCTGGCTTGTAAACAGCCACATTCTTACTGGATCTTCATAAGGAGAGAGGAATCTCTGGTGTCTCTCCTTTTCTTGTAAGAACACCGATCCCATCATGGGGACTATACCCTCTTGATCTCATCTAACCCAGTTACCTCCCAAAGACCTCACATCCAAATACTATCACATTAGGAATTAGGGCTTCAACATGAGTTTGGGGTAGGGGGAAACAGAGATCTTCAGTCCATACCATGGTGTATCCACACAATGGAATATCATTCAAAAGAAGGAGGCTCTGAAACATGCTACAATGTGGATGAACCTTGATAATATTATGTTGAGTAAAAGAAGCCAGACCCAAATGATGCCATTTATATGAAATGTTCAGAATAGGCAAATCCATAGAGATAGAAAGCAGATTCTTGGTTGCCTAGAGCTAGGGAAGAATCCGGGGATGGGGAGCAATTGTTAATAGGTATGAGATGATGAAAATGTTTTGGAATTGTGACAGTTATGCAGCCTTAGGAATACACTAAAAACCACCGAATTATATGCTTTAAAAGGATGAACTTTATAATATGTAAATCAGAATCTCAATAAATATTTGAAATGATAAGCTTGACAGAGGGGATGACTGAGCTGAGTGAGGAAGCGTGGAGGAGGTGGGTGAGGCAGAGGGTGTGAGCAGGGTTTCATTAGTTGTAGGGGTTCCCACTAGACAGGTGGGGAGGAAACCCTCTTTCTTTGGGGTTAGAGGAAAGGAGGTGCAGTTGAGCAACAGTATCTACGTTTTATAAAAGTGAAGGCCAGGATGAGATCAGAATTTGGGATGGGTAGGAAGGAAGGTGTCAGAATTTGCCATCAAGAAGGGAGAATGACCAGGAGGTGACAGCTACTAGGTGAGGTGAGGCACAGGACAAGCAGGTGGGATGGCCTGAGTCGTGAAGGAGCAGAGATTTGTGTACTTGACCGGAAGGGCAGCGTCTCGAAGGCAGGTGAGGAGAGCCTAACCATATTTTCCACTCCAGGGCTGGTGTGGGAGAAGGTCCGGCCCCCACCAGCTGGGACATGCCGGAGAGCTCACAGCAGGGAGACAGAAGAAGTGCTCTGAGCCAGGTTAAGGATGGGGAGTTGATGTTCCATGCAGTGGACTTCCAAACAGCACACAGAGAAGGCCTGAGGACAAAAGGAGCAGAGACGCAGGCCCGTTGGCTGAGCCTCCACTAACCCTAGCTAGCATACTATCAAACATACTGAAAGGTACCCACAGCCCAAGATAATAGACTTTTTATTGTACGTTTTTGGAAAGGTTTTTAACTATATTGCTATTAAAACGATTTTAGCCATGAATAACATTTAATTTATATTGGCCCATGATTTTTCTGCAACTTTCATATATAGTAATTCTTGTGCAGGGAGAAAAATCAGACCTACAAATTATTTTCAAGTGCCATTGATATTTTATGAATATCAAATTTAGCAGTGAATAGAGTTGACAGAGATACATTTTGTAACTATTTTATTCATTCACTTTGATTTTAGAGCTATAGATTAACTGTTTATTTTCACAGGCCTCTGAAAGTCTCATAGGCCCTCTCACCTGGTACCAAAGCCATTTTTAAATATTTTTTTTTTAAAGACTTCATTTATTTATTTGACAGAGAGCTAGAGAGAGAGCACAAGTAGGCAGAGTGGCAGGCAGAGGGAGAGGGAGAAGCAGGCTCTCCGCTGAGCAGGGAGCCGGACATGGGGCTCGATCCCAGGACCCTGGGATCACGACCCAAACCGAAGGCAGCCGCTTAACTGAGCCACCCAGGCGCCCCCCAAAGCCGTTTTTAAAAAGCCCTGTCATTGTTGGCTGAGTCTGTGGGAGAATAAACAGAGCATCGAAAGTCACAAGTTAGCCTCTTATTGATGACTTAGAGTCACCGCATGTAGAGCTGTTTGCTTCTGAGCCACACGGACCCCTTTGTAGCTACTTCTCCTTGCTCCATTAAGCTATCAGCCATCACTGGTATGCCTCCAGTAAACCAGTGAACTTCCTCTTCCAAAATTGGCAAGTCCTCATTTGTTCTGGTTGGGAAAACAGACACGTTTGTTAGAATTATTTTTAAAGTAAAAGCAAACTCAGTAAAAGCAGACGCAGGTCTGAGCCTTTTTGTGGAATAAAGGTCACGGGTTTCAGTACACTGACTTGTGACTCTCTTAACAGCTGTTTCAGGACTTTCTCTTCAGGCCTGAAGCCTAACACAATGAGGAAGGAGACTCTTAACGTGGTGAAGGAGATCACCACAGTAGAGGAAACATTGCTAGAAGAAGAACAATGCCTGTATCTTTCTTGAGCACATTTTCCCCAAGAGGACAAAGGGTCTCAATACCATGTTTCCCCTTGGTGATAGAAACTGCTCATGGCTGGGCTAAAAGTAGGAGAACTTGTATTTTCCATCCTTGCTCTGAAAGTGCATAAATTATCTCATAATTGGCTCCAATTCACCAGTCAGCTAAAATTATTTGAATTACAGGAAAATAAATTTACAAAGCCACATATGTCTTTCAACAGCTTTATTGAAATACAGATCACATTCCATATAACTCACCCATGGAAAATGTTCATTTCAGTGGTTTTTAGTATATTCAGAGTTGTGCAACCATCAGCACAATCAATTTTAGGATATTTTAATCATCCCCCCAAATAAATCACATAGCCATTAGCAGTCACTCTCTATCCCCCACCCAGCTTTAGATAACTGCTATTCTACTTTCTATCTCTATAGATATGCCTATTTTTTTTTTTTTTATTTGAGAGAATGAGTGAGAGAGCACAAGACAGGGGAGGGTCCGAGGGAGAAGCAGACTCCCCGCCGAGCAGAGAACCCAATGCAGGACTCGATCCCAGGACTCCAGGACCAAGACCCAAGCCGAAGGCAGTCGTCCGACCAACTGAGCCACCCCGGAGCCCTAGATAGCCTATTCTTGACGTATATATCTTAAACAGACTTTCCACATGGGCTCGAGTTCTGAGTTTCGAAATGCTGCTCTTAAATGATCCTACCTCTAAGGCAGAATGCTTGGGGCAAATCACTTACTTTTTCAGTTTCCTATCACCTTCAGAAGTGTAACAATACTGACAACATAGGGTTAGGCTTCTCTAATGTTTATCAAGCATTCTGAAAATTTCAAGTACTTAGCATGAAGGGGACAATGGATTAGAATAGCCAGTGACAGGGCTCCTGGATGGCTCAGGTGGTTAAGCATCCGACTCTTAGTTTCGGCTCATGTCATGGTCTCAGGGTCCTGAGATCAAGCCCCATGTCGGGCTCCGCACTCAGCACAGAGTCTGCTTGTCCCTCTCCCTCTGCTCCTACCCCTGCTCTCACTCACTCTCTCAAATAAATAAATTTAAAAATCTTAAAAAAAAAAAAGAATAGCCAGTGACATCTCAAAAGTGTCCTGCACATGACTTCTCAGTCCTGTATTCTATCCTTATTTAATGTGGCTTCTAACATCAAAGAAATTCATGACTAATGTTCTCTTGATTGAATTAATAAGTACACAATCAAAACCCACAGTATTCTAAACCCTTTTTAAACAAATGGTTTAAATCTCTACCTCCTCTTAGCTTTTAATCAGAATTCCAGTACTATACAAGTAACAGTTTACCTTCTGTGTTTCCTCTCCCCTTCCTTCCTGTAACTAATTGCTGGTAGTGTAATAATGAGCAGTGTATGAGCCAAAATCCTGGCAGTAAAGGGGAGAAAAAGAGAAGAAAATATGGCATTTGTAGAAGTTTACACTCAGTTTTTCTCCCAAGATATGAGACAGAAGACCTCAGACTCTGGACTCGGAGTTGGGTTTCAACGCTGGTTCTATTACTTCCTAACTCTATGACCTTGAGTGATTCATTTCTGTGCCTCAGTTACCTCATCTCAAGGATGGGAATAATATGGGTGCTTGGGTGGCTCAGTCGGTTAAACATCTGCCTTCAGCTCAGGTCATGAAACCAGGGTCCTGGGATTGAGCCCCGCGTCGGGCTCCCTGCTCTGCGGGAAGCCTGCTTCTCCCTCTCCCTCTAACCCTTCCCCTGCTTGTGCTCTTGATCTCTCTCTCTCAAATAAATAAATAAAATCTTAAAAATGGGAATAATAAAAACACCTATGTCGTGAGGCTGTTCTGGGAATTAATGCATCAGAGCAATGAAAGTGCGTAGCACGCCTGATTCAGAGCAAGATCTCAGCGTTGGCTGGTGTTGCTGTTTCTCCTAATATCGCAACCAACAAGCCTGCCTGAGGGAGGCTCACTGGCCTCATTTTAGAGATCAGAAAAATCAAGAAAGAAGTTAAATAGTAAAGCATTTCCATGTACATCATCTCCTTCAAAGGCTAAAGGGCTTGCCTCTATTTCACTCTTAGCACTTATGATGATGTGCGAATCGTACCCGGAAGAGGATTGGAAGTTATCCAGGCAACATGGTGTGTATCAACCCCAAAGAGAAGGAAGGTCAGGGGCCTTTCTGTCTTGGCAGGAGCTGAGCTTGGAATGAGGATAGGAAGGAGGCCATTGGGGTCAGTGCTGCCTTATTCCTTGGTGTCTACAGAATTCCTCCAGAGGCCGAACAGTGGGATGACTACGAGGGCAGCCCCGAACACCAGACTGTCTGGGTCTGAAGCCTGCCTGTCCTCTGTCCCTTACCTCACCTGTGCAGCAGCATAGTGACAGTGCCCACCTCACTGAGCTCTGATGGGGATTCAGTGAGGTAGTATGCAGAGCAGATACCAAGTGGTACAGAACAAGCGCTTAGTGTTAGCGCAAGATACCCGCCCTAACTGTGTCCACCGCAGCGTGATGGGAGAAATTACCCATGTTTAATGATAGTCGTTTCCCCCCGGAAGAAGCCTCTTAGGCACTGAAAGTCCTTGCGTTCACAGCCAAACTCATCATTTCTTCCCAAAGCCTGCCCCTCTTACAGTTTCCCACTCTCAGGAATGGCACCACCTCAACCAGGCACTCAAACCAGAAACCCGGGAGTCAGTCCAGGCTCCTTCTCCCACCTTCTCCTGCATATACGGTTGCAGACCAAAACTGTTTAGTTTGGTTCCTTAAAATTTCTCCAGTCTGTCTCATCCTCCAGCCCCACAATTGTTACTTGAGCTCGGGCCCTCATCTTCTCTTGCCCTGTGAATGCGATAGTCCCCTAACCCTTGTAGACACCAACTTTAGTCCAGCTCCAGGCATCAATCCATTCTCCCTGAGGCTGCCACAGGGACCTTTCTAAAACACAAAACCAATAGTATCTCCCCACCTTATAACCCTGCCTTGGCTCCGCAGTGCCCAAGCAAACCCCACAGCATGGCACAGCAGATCCTTTGGGATCTGGCCCTGCCTGCTTTCAGCCCCACAGTGTCCCTTGACCTCTCTCTCCACTCCCATCCTTCAATCCAGCCCTTCCGAGCTCATGACAGTTCCCAGAATGCTGTGACAAGCCTCCATGTCTTTGCTTCACTGCCCCGTCTGCCTGGGATGCTCCTTACCCCGTTTCCTGCTCATCTTTTGAGACTCTTCTCGAGAATTCCTTATCTTTGAAGCCATTCCTGGCTACACCCCCGCCCCCATATAGGCTCGGCCATTCTCTGCTCTCACAAATAATCTGCATTCCTGTTCTAGCACCTGTAATTAACTTCTGATGCCTATTGGCATGACTTGCTTTCCTACTGGGCCATAAAGCCGTTAGAGCAGAGATCAAGGTTGACTCGTACCTCTTGTCCTAGGCCCTGGCCAGTACCACTGTCCCTATTACAGACCAGTGACCAGGAAATGAATTTCCAAGAGCTGTGAGGACTGCGCATTTATAGCTAGCATTTCTTGAGTGTTCACCATCAAACTGAGTTGACATGTATTCTGTCCTTTAATTTTCTAACAACATATGGCGGAGGTACTACTCCTGGCATTATTATGCCCATTTTACTGGAACAGAGAGCAGTTAACCTGCCAGAGTCACAGAGCTGAGAAGTAGCAAGCTTAGGACTGGAACTCAGCTCTTTCTTACCCCAAATCGACTCTCTTGCCTCCACCTCCCAGTAAATCAGGCACTTGAGAGAGAATGAAATCTGTACGTCTTTTCACAAAGTTCAGTTTCTAAAACCTTGTGGGAAACTAGGAAATCTAGCCCTGACAGGAGAGAAAGCCCCGAAGCCATCCTCAAGGCAGGAGAGATTATGACAATACAAGTCTGTGGTTTCCAGATGGTTTCTGAAAATAATTTGGGGTTAAAGAGAAACAACAAAATCACTAAAAATGATTTACAATTTATTACTCTCAAGTCTTCATGTTTCAGGAAAAACCAACAGAGCTGTTCCCTGGTGATATTAAGTTCTCTTCCTAATTCACCCTCCAGACTTCATTTTGGCCTTGTGCAATCTCCCTACTGAAAGGGCGTTGTTTCGTGATTTCTGATACAAGTCAGACCTGCCTGGCCGTCGCTTCAGCCAGTCACCAACAGCTGTAACGGGGGACCCAGCCTGGTACAAACCCGCCAACCCTGGGTGTGAACATAACCATTGCATTTTGGCCTGAAAACCCCTGGGACCATAACATTTACACCTTTGGGGAAAGCAAATTGTTCATCTGGAGTTTGAAGGGATTTTTGTTTTCCTCCTACCTGAGCCAGGAAACTATTCAAAGTATGTTTGCAACCTGCTTAGCACTCCCCACTTGGCCATGCTCTCCTCCAAGAACACAAGAGAGCACTAAGCCGTGGGTGAACCGAAGGGCGGCAGAAAAGAAATCCTCATACCAACAGATGCCCCCTTCACTCTCCCTGAGCTTTCACTTTAGATGGCTCTGTGAACAGGCGCCTGGCTGGCTCAGTGAGTAAAGCATGAGACTCTTGATCTCGGGATTGTGAATTTGAGCCCTGCACTGGGTGTGGACATTACTTAAAAATTAAAAAAAAAAAATGTTAATCCTCAGATGGCTTCTTGTTGTGGGTGACATTGTTTTGTTTTCTTTTTAACTTAGCATAGATAGGTAAGACATTGAATTTAATACCTTATCAGTATACTTAAAAGATATATCGTTTAAAAGGGCCTTGGGGTCAGATCAGTGTTTTAAGCCCACCCAAAACATGCTTTTGTTAAACAGTTTGAATGCTAGAAATTTCCTGAGACCAGCAAAATTCTTTATAGTACCAATACTCAATTTAATTTTGCCTACTCATTCTAACTTTGTAAAGAAAAGTGGACAGAGGGGGAAAAACTAGCATCTGTAAGCATTTATGATGTGTTGGGGACCGTATTTGCCAATTAACTTACATCATTTAATCCTTACCAAGAACTTCAAGGCAGGTAGTATAAGACTCACCAAAGCCGAGTCATTTGCCCCGGGCTGGGGTTGAAACCCAGAGCTGTCTGGTTCCAGAGCCTCCTCTCCACCCCCGCCCTCCCCTGTCACGGACTGTTCTCTATAGATCCAAATTGATGTGTTTTAGGAAAGGCAACTTTACTGCAGTCAATTCTGCCACTCTGATTCTTGAAGAACTGTTTGCCAGCTCTATTCCTTCCATAGGATGGTTCCAACGTTAACTTTGCAACTTTAAAAATGACGCAGCAGTGGAAAGAAGGATCCAGATGAGGGCATGTTAACAGTGTTTTCTGTCCAGAGTTCCTCATTCTTAACTGAATGCTCTGGCAAGTTTCCAGCAAAGAAAATTAGGTGGAGGGGAGGGGAGGCCTTGACCCAGAAAGCTGGAATCAGGTAGAAAGTTGAGGGCATAGAAAAAATGTGCATTGGGGAGGTCAGAATCGGGAGAGATTTCTCTCTGCTTAGAGGTGAAGAGGGATTTGGGAATGTTTCAGGGAGGAAATAGCATTTAAGCAGAGCCTTGACCTTGAAGGATGGGGGAGCACTCCTTTCAAGCAAAAAGGAAACTGTGAACAAAGACACGGAGGCAGGAAAGGGAGAACATTGGTGGAAAATAAGGTATTAATAGTGCTATATTATCAACAGCACTGCTTTTCGTAATGGCACTCCGGTATCTGGTATAAAACAGAATGTGTTCCATGACCAAGTATATCACAATCATCTGTTGCTGGAGGAGCAGTCTTTCCATGCTACAACACATCTGGAAATTTTGCTCTTTGAATGGCATATATTTGCGTAGAGAGGGTCACATTAACTGATGTCAAGTTTAAGATCCTGTCTCATTTTGCTTCTGCAGAAGGAAACTCCACTTGCCAACGCTGCATTCTGGGCAGCAAGAAGAGGCAACCTGGCTCTGCTCAGGCTGTTGTTGAACAGCGGTCGGGTGGATGTGGACTGCAGGGACAGTGTACGGATGGATTCTTTCGGTATATGCATGCCAAGGGCACGCCATTTCCCCTGCCGGCATGAGAGCAGCTCCTGAATACGTTTCCCTGTACAGTGCTCATCTACTCTTTCTGTATGCCTGCTTTATCCTTTTAAAAAGTCCAAGGTACCCTGGTGAATGTAAAAACTTTTGGGGGGCTGGAGGGGGTGCCTGGGTGGCTCAGTTGGTCAAGGGTCCCACTCTTGATTTCTGCTCAGGTTGTGATTTCACCGTGTGAGATCGACCCCCGAGTCAGGCTCTGTGCTCAGTGGGGAGTCTGCTTGGGATTCTTTCCCTCTGCCTCTCCCCCTCCACTCACACGCGCTTGTACACGCATGCACACTGTCTCCTCTCTCAAATAAATATTTTAAAAAAATTAAAAACATACCAGGGAAACCATTACATGCATAAAACGGAAGGCAGCCACAATAAGGAAAGAGGCACTTCACTGGGAATTACAATTAGCAAATTCCAAGAAGGAAAGCGTTTTTAGTCAGAGAATTCAAACCAACTGCTTCCGTGGAAAGTGGAGATAATTCAGAGCAGAAGAGGATTGCCATGAATGTGTAAGTTGGGTTTTCCTATAAGGATACGAGAACTGAGAACGGAAGGCACCACCCAGCCTCTTACCTTTCACTATTGTTGCAAACATCAATACAGGCACTGGCAAGTAAGGGGTTTAAAAATAGATACTCCTGCCCACTGGCAGGCATCCTTTGGGGAGCCCTCCCCCCGCAGAGAGAATCAGTGATTTCTCTGTACTCAGCAGGACAATGCATCTCTGGGGATCAGGAAGACCTCAAATGAGAGAGAGAGACAACAGAAATATTTTGATTTTAGGAATAAAAATGTTTTCAAGGGAGCCTTATTTTCCAGAAAGCAGGATGTGCCATTTCCAGCTTTTATTGCACAAATTTGGTAAGTGAGATCAGCCGCCCGTCTGAGATATCCCGGTTTGTTCGCTTTGCCCACTGGGGGCATCGGTGAGCAGTGTGTTGGGTTTGCACCTCCAGATCCACCCAGACCCTTCTTCAGTTTGCTCTGTGTCACAGAGCCCTGCTGCTGCCAACTCCCAGTCCAACATTGCTCTTGTAATGGCACAGCTTTATACATCACCACACTTTCTTCCAGCCATCCAGTGTGACTATGCCATCTGCTCCTTCCGCTGGGGCCCAGGCTGATAGGTGGTCAGGCATCTATGAACTGGCCATCCCAGTCTTACGTGGGTCTCCTCAGCAGCCCTGGGCCACACTGGAGCAGCAGTGCTGGTTTTCCCTGTGGCCTCACCCCCTGATCGCACTGATGACCATTTTTCCTCTTTTTCTTGAAGTCACCCTTTCTCAGCCACGCCTGTAACTCTTTCCTGACTTTCAGGTTCCTAGGGGCCACCTCACAGTGCCACACACACCTGCCCCCCAGATAGTAAGTACCCCGTATGCTCAGCCTTCCCAGCGCCCTTTCCTCCTCAATGTGACGTGTCCTGCTACCTCCTTTCCCCTCAGAGCTCATCCTCTGTCTCTCTTGGTCTGCTCTCTCAACCAGAAATTTTACTTCTATGAACAGATACTAATATGTTTACTTCTCCTCACTTAAACTAAAAACTCATTTTATTAGCAGCTCTCTGGAGAAATGGTTCCTTAAGCCAAAGAAGGGAGTCTAATTGCTGGGTGGTAGGGTAGCTCTATTTTTAACTTTTTGAGGAACCTCCATACTGTTCTGCAGAGTGGCTGCACCAGCTTGCATTCCCCCAACTGTAGGAGGGTGCCCCTTTCTTTGCATCCTTGACAACATCTGTTATTTCCTGTGTTGTTAATTTTAGCCATTCTGACAGGTGTGAGGTAGTATCTCCACCATGGTTTTGATTTGTATTTCCCTGGTGATGAGTGGTGTTGAGCATTTTCTCATGCACTACTAGGTATTTACCCAAAGGATACAAAAATACAGATTCGAAGGGACACATGCATCCTGATGTTGATAGCATTATCAACAATAACCAAACTGTGGAGAGAGCTCAAATGTCCATCGACTGATGAATGGATAAAGAAGATGTGGGGGGGGGGGGTGTAATGGAATATTACTCAGCCATCAAAAAAATGAAGTCTTGCCGTATGCAACAACATGGATGGAGCTAGAGTGTATTTTGCTAAGTGAAATAAGTCAGAGAAAGACAAATACCATCTTCATCTCATATCTGGAATTCAAGAAAGAAAACTGATGAACATATGGGAAGGGGAAAAAGAGAAAAAGGAGAGAGGGAAACAAGCCATAAGATGCTTTTTAAGATTTTATTTATTTATTTGAGAGAGAGAGCACAAGTGGAGAGGAGGGGCAGAGGGAGAGGGAGAAGCAGGCTCCATGCTGAGCAGGGAGCCTGATGCAGACTCGATCACAGGGCCCTAGGATCATGACCTGAGCTGAAGGCAGACACTTAACCAACTGAGCCACCCCGGTGCCCCAAGAGAGTCTTAGCAGTAGAGAACAAACTGAGGGTTGTTGGAGGGAGGAGGGGTGGGGGATGGACTAGCTGGGCGATCGTATTAAGGAGGGCACTTGTTACGATGAGCACTGGGTGTTATACGTAAGTGATGAATCACTGAATTCAACTCCAGAAACCAATATTGCACTATACGTTAACTACCTAAAATTTAAATTAAAAAATTAATTAAAAAATTGAAAAACAAAGCAAGTCTAAATGTTGGTAAGACGGCTTGTTGATTTTGAAAGCGTCTCTAAAATTGGTGGTAACAGAGACAGAAAGATGTTTGGGAATAGTACAGGTCTTAGTTCCCCTCAAAATTTTACTGGGAGGATTTCCACCTTCTTCGGGTGCCACCTGAACATGGAGTCTGGGTTCCAGGATGACCCTGGTGGTGAATGACCTCTGACCAGTCCTACCCTGGCCGATGGGGCCCAGCCTCTGGTTCACCTGGAACTCCTAGGAGAGCTGATGGAATGCATGGAGAGGCCCTGGGGCTCTCTTGGGAACTGCTCTCAACCTTGAGTTCATGACCGTGTTCTAACTTCCAACAAATAGCATTTAAAGAATGAATACGTTATCTCTAGGCTACCCACCACACAGCAAAGCTTTGATTTGCTAACATTCACCTTCTTTCCTAGATTAATGTTGTCTTCACATGATATTTACATTCTTTGCTTTCTTCATCTCTCTGATGCACATTTACCACCTCATCCCCCCACGCCCGCCTCCCCTCTGGTAACCATCAACTTGTTCTTTATAGTTAAGAGTCTATTTCTTGCTTTGTCTCTTTTTCTCCCCTTTGTTTTGTTTCTTAAATTCCACATATGAGTGAAATCATATTGTATTTGTCTTTCTCTGACTGCCTTATTTCACTTAACGTTATACTCTCTAGATCCATCCATGTTGTTGCAAATGGCAAGATTTCATTTTTTATGGCTGAATAATATTCCTGTGTGTGTGTGTGTGTGTAGATAGACAGACAGATAGGTAGATATCTTCTATCTTTATCCATTCATCTGTTGATCAACACTTGGGCTGCTTGCATATCTTGGCTATTGTAAATAATGCTGCAATATTCATAGAGGTGCACGTATCCCTTCAAATTAGTGTTTTCGTATTCTTAGGGCAAATACCCTGTAGTGCAATTACTGGATCATAGGGTCTTTCTAGGGGCGCCTCGGTGGCTCAGTCGTTAAGCGTCTGCCTTTGGCTCAGGTCATGATCCCAGGGTCCTGGGATCTAGCCCCACATCGGGCTCCCTGCTCAGCAGGAAGCCTGCTTCTCCCTCTCCCACTCCCCCTGCTTGTGTTCCCTCTTTCGCCATGTCTCTCTGTCAAATAAATGAATAAAATCTTAAAAAAAAATAGAGTCTTTCTATTTTTAATTTCTTGAGGAACCTCCATACTGTCTTCTACAGTGGCTGCACCAATTTGCATTCCCACCAACAGTGCACGAGGGTTCCTTTTTCTCCACATCCTCACCAGTACTTGTTTCTTGTGGTTTTGATTTTAGCCATTCTGACAAGAGTGAGGTGATATCTCATTGTGGTTTTCATTTGCATTTCCCTGAGGATGAATGATGTTGAGCATCTTTTCATGTGTCTGTTGGCCATCTGGATATCTTCTTTGGAAAAATATCTGTTCATGTCTTCTGCCTATTTTCAAATTGGATTATTTGGTTTTTTGGTGTTGAGTTGTATAACTTCTTTATATATTTGGATACTAACCCTTTATCAGACTTGTCATTTGCAAATATCTTCTCCAATTCAGTAGGCTTTTAGTTTTGTTGGTTGTTTCCTTTGCTGTGCAGAAACATTTTATTTTGATGTAGTCCCACTACTTTATTTTTGCTTTTGTTTCCCTTGCCTCAGGAGACATATGTAGAAAGATGTTATGGCTGATGTCACAGAAATTACTGTCTGTGCTCTCTTCTAGAACTTTTGTGGTTTGAAGTCTCAATTTAGGTTCTTAATCCATTTTGAGTTTATTTCCGTGTATGATGTAAGAACGTGGTCCAGTTTCATTCTTTTGCATATAGCTGTCTGGTTTTCCCAACATCATTTGTTGAAGAGACTGCCTTTTTCCCATTGCATATTCTTGACTCCTTTGTCAAAGATTAATTGACCATAACATCATGGGTTTATTTCTGGACTCTCTATTCTGTTCCATTGACCTATGTGTCTATTTTTGTGCTAGTACCATTACTGTTTTGATTCTTACAACTTTGTAATATAACTTAAAATCCAGAATTGTGATACCTCCAGCTTTTTTTTTTTTCTTTTTTTTTAAGATTTGTTGGGCTATTCTGGGTCTTTTGAGAGTCCATACAAATTTTAGGATTATTTGTTCTAGTTCTATGAAAAATGCTCTTGATGTTTTGATAGGGATTACATTCAAACTGTAGATTGTTTTGGGAAGTATGGGCATTTTAACAATATTTTTTCTTCCAATCCATGACCATGGAATGTCTTTCTATTTGTTTGTGTCCTCTTCAGTATCTTTCA